CCTCCTCCTCCTCCTCCTCCTGTTCCCCCCCCCCCCCCAGGAATTTCAGTCTCCAAGGTCTAAACTCTTCAGCTGCTTCACAAACATTGTTTTAATTCACACAGGCATCCATGCAGTGAACAACAAATCAAGGCTGTGCCTGTGAAGCTTGAAGCAATGTACATTTATAGCACTAAAAATAATAATCCATTACCCAGATGAAGCCAAGCATTTTCCAAATAACTCTACCTGTCCTCAGGGATGTTTGCCAAAGGATCGGGAGAGAGAAGGTTGTTTGTGTAGCTTTGCAGCACTAAAGTGATGAACATTAAAAAGTACAGCTTTCTGAGATCTTTGTATTCCTATAAAACAGAGTCAAAATGTTTTATATATGAGACATTAATGAAGAAGTGAATGACAGATTGTGAAAATAGCTGCTTTGGGAACAGAAAGCTAAATAAGAAAAAGTTTACACACTCTGTGTCCCCCCTCTCTTTCTATGCAAACATACACAGGCAAGTGCATCCATACCTATGTCTGTCTCTTTATCTATTTTTCTAATCTGTGGAAAACTTTCCATGTGTGGTACTTTTTTTGTTCATTTATAAGTTAAGACACATCTGTTGAGAGCTGGAAAAAGATACCACCCCTCTTTGATACAACCAGCTTGGCTTTAGAAGCAGAGGTGAACTGTGATTTCTTGCTTTCTTGCTAGAAATATGCTGGCTTGTTTAGATTAACTTCATTTTCATTTTAATTTTTTTCTTCTATGATGGTTGGCAAAAACATTTCTTCCTTAAGCTATGTGCTGGCAATATTTGAGATAGAAAATAACATCATACTACACATTTTAGATACTTCATAGTTTTCTTGTGAAATTTTATTGTTGTACCACCTACCTGAAAATCCCTCAAAACTAAATCAGCAGGTCAACTACTGTGCACAACTTGCTAGAAAGCTGCAGTTCCTGCAGCAAAAGAGAAGGTTTGGGGATGGCTGGGGTAATTTTAAGTGCAGGGGGTTAGTTTTCCACTAGAGGGAAGGGAAGCTGCAGGAAGGACTGCTGCACTTCCTAGTATTCCTGGCTATAAAATCAGAGACAACCTCAGTAACAGCATCTTTAGTGGCTGAGACACTAAATGTGGCCTCAACACAAACTGCTGCTTCTTGGTACATTTCCTTCTGCTAGAACTAGCCAGAAAAGGGATTTTAAATCTAGGAAAACTAATGCATATGATCCATATGCACAATGTCCCATTTAATTTTTACCATACCAATAAAAAGGGAGTTTGCTTTATTGCCTTTCCAGCCAGAGGTTGGAGAAATTCAGCAACTAATCACTAACTCACAGCTAAATCTGATGCCAGCAACATTCCTACAATATTCTTGTTGGGTTTTTTAAACTGTTAAACTTCTTTATTGCTACTGACTGCCAGCATATATGAACTGACCTGAACCTCTTCCTAAATAGATGCTTCAAGAAGGTTGTACAGTTTTCCCATAATAACATTAACTGCCATGATTTGATTGCAGTAAAGGTTTTGTAAGCTAATAAAACGTTGATGTCTATCTGTAGGCTCCACAAGAAGATGAGGGATATAATTCCTGGGGATCTGCTGCCCTCAGCAGAGATACCACAGTCTTGAGTCATGGATGTGGAGTTCCCTTAGCTGATTTTCTGAGTTTCTCCTCACTCAGAAACCTCCTTTGCTCTCGTTTTCTTTGATCATTATTCAGTACCAGGAAAAGTCAGTGGAGTGAAATGAGGTGTCCTCAGAGCCTCCTCTTCTCCAGGTGAACCCCCCCCAGCTCTCCCAGCCTGGCTCCAGAGCAGAGGGCCTCCAGCCCTGGGAGCATCCCCGTGGCCTCCTCTGGACTCGTTCCAACAGCTCCACATCTTCCTTGTGTTGGGAGCTCCAGAGCTGGACAGAGAGCTCCAGGTGGGGTCTCACAGTGCAGAACAGAGGGACTGAATCCCCTCCCTCGCCCTGCTGGTCACATTTCTTTTGATGAAGCCCGGGAGAAGCAAAAGGACTTGTAATTATACAAAAGACTTGTAATTTCTTTTTGGGTTCAGCTCTCATTTTCCTTTTTCTCTTTCTTCTCCATAGCCCCCTCATTGTGCTTTGGCTTGTCATCCAGGCTTGGGATGCTTGTGGGGGGCCACACCAACCAAGCTTGCATGAAAATTGCGGTTTTTTCTCTTGCTGTGCCAAAGCCCTGCTTTGCCTTTGGGCAACCAGAGTGGCACTTATTTCTAACCAAATAAAGTCAGCCCTTGCAGACAGAACTGAGCTGAGCTGAGCTTTAAGGAAATGGTGAAGAATTTTAGAACCTCTTCTCACTGGTTACCGGTGTCCATCCACCTCTTCTGTTTCCTCAGGGAAAACTCATTGCAACTAAACCCTTTCCTGTTAATACAGACATCAAAGAAGGGGTATCCTGCATATTTCCTGGGAGTGTGAATTGGGGTTTTGGAGTGGGTGGCTCAGCTGAGGACTCTAGCCTTCCTGTGCTTTATGAACAATTTTGAAATCTTTTCTCCTGTATATATTTTAATACCAAGAGATTTTACCCAATATGTGGAAATCTGTGTTCCCGTCTTGGAGACACTGAAAGAAATTGAATTCCAAAGTATTTCCTTGGCCTGTGGATAAAAGGAGGATTACATGAAGTTAGAAAGGAGACAATCTAATGTAATTATTCCTAGTACTTGTGTTTATAAGATCACAGGACAGAGAAGGGACATAAAAGAGAAGGGGAATGAGGCAGCACAGGATCTAACACTGACAAGCTGAAAAAGGGGCAGCAGCTGATGTCTGACACCAGAGAACTGAATGGGAATAAATGGGGGACAGTGATGTTCCATGTGGGAGTAGCAGCTGATGAGTACATTGCATTGACTGTGGAATGAGAGAGGGGGAGAGACTGACCTGTGACCCTGAGTGACACCAGGTGTAACCTGGCAGGACCAGGAGCTGTGTGGCATCAGTGCAAGACATGGAGCTGAGACAAGAGAGGAAGGAGCTCCTTCTGCCCAAGCAGGGACCTCACAGGCATGCCCAGTGTGATACTGGATAATGAGGAGTGATCCTGCACCTGCTGTTCCTGTCACCTGGAAGGTGGGACAGAAGCAGAGAGCTGTTAGGATCTTGCTGTGGAGCAGGCTAGCTTTGGGCCACTGCCTCTTGAGCCAGTCTGCTTTTCTTCTCAAGCACAGAGTTTGGCCATCTTCTGTAACACCATCCCTTGGGAAAAAAAGGTTCTTCTTCCAGTTTCCCAAAACATCTCCATACAGTTTCTGCACCTACTCACTCATCCTTTAACTGCACACTTTTAGGTAAATCAGTGAAAGCAAAGGGCTAACAACAGACACTGGGAGTTAATTTGTAGCTTACGATGGATAGTTTTCCCTGAAAAAATCCAACTGGTATTTCGGCAGTGGCTGGTCAGAGGACCAAAAGAAGCTGAGCTCTATTTTGCAGTTGTGATGGTCAGTATTCCTGCCATGCTGCTTCTCTCACCTGCTTCCTCAGTTCACCTGGGCTCTTGGCCCCAAGAGCTTAATACTAATGATGGTATTTTTAGAAGCACCAGGACAGGTCCTGCTTTCTGAAGGCACTGTGCTTTGAGATGACCCTGCAGATGATGTGCAGCTCTCACTGTTCTGGCAGTTCAGAGAGCACTGGAGACAGATAAATAACTGGTTGGGGTTTGGTGGGTCTTTGCTCTCAGCCTCACCTTGCAGAGGAGGGTGTTGACAGGGAATCACA